CACATTGAGACCAATGGAACTAGGTCCCGCCTGTCCCCTTTAACTGGACCGCTGTTGTGGTACGAGCCGTCACTTTTGGAGCTGGGCACGCTCCCTCCATCCCTCAGGTTCTCCTGTTCCAACGCTGCTGTACTATGTCTGCTGTTCCTCAAGATGATCACTGATCCTCCTCAAGCCTCTATCCTGGCCTCCGCTTCCATCCTGTAGGCGCCCTTCCTCACTCACGTCTTGTCATGTCACCTCACGACACCTACAAATTAAAATGACCCTCCTCTTGCACCTGGCTTCCGCCATATGTCAACTCCCTACTGAGACCTGTACAAGAACGTTACACATTCTCTCTAAAACAATCTCCCGCCAACCTGTAACCTTGTGTAAAGACATTAGTCAGCAGTTACATGTTAAGCTCATTTAACTCCCAGCTCCACCTGGAACCTGTATCCTGGAAAACAAATCTGTAGAACCAAACATCTTATTTACAACCAACTATAGATCATGAGAGCGATAAAGTATTCAGCACAACAGACAAGTATCATGTTCAGGATTTCTCAAATCATTAAATCACTATTATTGCCGCAATTTATTTTATCCCCAATTTAATCAGTGACTTTCCTTAAGCAATGTCACTCCACTTGTTTTATCACTATGAGCCCCATATTAAACTGTTCCATAGAAACTGCATCTCTTATTTGTTTTCTCATGTCACTTGTCTGTTTTCTACCGAATCCTCCACATGCACTCTTAACAAAAGCAAAACAAACATTAGCAACACATTTGACCATCTCGGGTTAGGCGTCCGCCATCCACATTCCAGAGGTGCTGTAAAAAGACCTCCTGTAAAAAGAATCACACTGTTTTCAAGACAGGATGTGTCTCCCACAGTTTAATAGCATCACCAACTCATAACCTATAAACACCGTTTCTTCACACATAAACCCAGAAACCCTGTAGTAGGAAAACATTATTAGCAAACATTAACTACTTGTCCAGTTATAAACCACATATTCAAATCACATGAAGAACTGTAATGCTGTAGAGAAGAAAATGCAAATGTTAACGCTGCGCAGGTGTGTACACACTTTCTCACAGTAATCTCTGTGAGCAACACAAACCCCTGAACAACCCCCCTGGTAGATTCACAAACACAGAAAGTGGCATTTAAAAGTTAAATCGTCATGCAACCTCAGATGTCGCGGTCATCCTGTAAAAAGAAACACACATAAATTCATCCACCCTTTTGTCCTAGCTAGGTGGAGGTTAACCTTGAGTCGTGGTCAAGTCTTGTCAGCTTTTACCAGCTTTTACCAGTCAGTCAGTTTGTTTCTATTTCCAGTCTTTCATTCATTCATTCATCCATTCTTTCTTTCTTTGCTGATAGTGGAAACCATCACCGCATTTAGATTTCCGCCCTCAGCAAAATGACGTCATTTCAAAAAAGAAAAACAAGAACTTTAGATCGGATTACCTCGCTGAATCCTTTCTTTAGGCAGGGACTCTCATTTTCTAATTGTCCCAATAAGTGGCTTTCTCCAGAGCCCATTTTAATGTGGAGAAACTCACTTGCAACTATTTTCTCGCCGACATGTAATGCTTGTAATTCCCGATGTGCAGATCTGCTTAAAGAAAAGATTCACAAACAAAAATCAGTGCACTGTTCAAAAAATATAAAATCAAAAGTAAAGCTTTAAAACAAAATTAAATAAAAAAAGAAGCCCGGGTCTTAGGACTTATCACCGAATGTTATTTCTCTTATAAGTGAAAAAATACCAACTCTAAAACTTGGTGCCATGGTAAAATCTTCCCCATACTTCAGAAACCCAAAACAAAACAAAAATCTGCTAGTTTCACTCATTTAAACTCTGGCTGCAGGATTCTGTTCACCCCTGCTATCATGTTCCCCAAAATAATACTAATTCTGTCGTCTATGTATCAGTTCTCAACCCACTCACTAAACCTGACAGGATGATGGTAACAGTATTGCCTACTTAAAATTGTGTTTGATCCTAATGAGCTAATCCTAATGAATTTCATTACTTCATTGCATGTGTGTGTGTGTGTGTGTGTGTGTGTGTTAGTAAGGTTAATACATCTTCAATTTCTGTGTGTCCTTTTATGTACTTCCCCCCAAATGACAGGAACAAGTAAGAAAATAAGCAGATTCCTTGATGGCGGGGGCCTCAAAAAAAGTTTGAGGAACATGATAAGAAGTTCTCATTTGATAAGGCCTCAGTTCCACACATCTGCAGGATGTAAAAACAAGTAATCCATGACAACTTGACCCCACAGTTTCCAGGACTTAAAGGATGTGCTGTTTAAGTGCTGGTGTCTAATACCACAAGAAACTTTCAGAGGTCTTGGGGAATCCATGCCTGAATGGGTCAGAACTATTTTGGCGACTTTGAGGAGGACCAGCACCACATTAAAGTTTGTGGTGGTAATGTTGCGGCTGATTGACTGGTGTGGTTAGACAGCTCTCTCATCTATCAATGCTGTGAGCAAGTGTTTGAACCGTAATGCAATTCTCCACTTTCTTTCATAACCTTTTGGTTCTGTCTCTGGATGTTACCCACTCCAGGGCAAAACTGTTGATGTCTTTGATGCTGTGAATCTGTGATGCATTTCTTCCTCGGCTTTGAAGGAATGAAGGCATTTGAAGTGAAGAACTCCTGTGCTGCCTCGTCACGTATCTTTAGATTTGTTTTTTTATTCAGCCTAGCACAGACTAACACAGCAAATGTTTCCCATTTTGCTGTTACAGTTAATCCTGAATTAACTCCTCCTCCCTCTCCTGTGTTTGAAGAGGGAGGGGGAACAGAAATCTTTGAGGATATAAAAGAAGCCATGCATCCACGCCAGGTTTCATGGCTGTGCTCTACAAACAGAGTGTGAGACGGGAAGAATATTATAGTGTCTTTCCGCTGATTTCTTTGCAAACATCCCAGGTTGCATCTTTTTTGGCTTCAGATTTATTGGTAATCTCAAGGCATTTGCAGTATTTTAGAGAGAAGGTCAATAATTCCTCTACATGCAAGCACCTTGTGACAGTGGGGAGGAAACCCAGTGATGATGGTTCTCTGCTTCAGCAGGTTAAGGTAGTGAGGAGTAGAAATGGGCAGAGAGGAGAGCAAAGGGAAAGCTGTGTATTTAAGGTAGCCACACTATTGGATGAGCATCTCTGACAGTGCTGTGTTGCTGTTGTTCCGACATCATAAATGATGTCGTTCTGGAAACAAGGTTATTAGAGTTCACTTAAACTAAATAAAAAACAAATGCAACATTGTTCAAAGCTTCTTCAGACTGACATATACCACCCTGGTCATTCTACCTATAACAAACACATTTTTAGCAAGTAAATCAAATAGATAAAAATCAAATGCAATTTAAAAAAAAGAAGAAAAAAAAAAAGGCAAACCCACACTAAATGACACTAAAGTAAAATGAAAACAGCAGATTTCCAGGAAGAGCACAGCAACTGACCAATCATGCTTTCATGATGTAATCACTTTGAGACTAAGTTTTCCTACATGGCCCTGGAGAAAGATCAGACTGCAGCACACAGTTAATGACTATATTTCCGTCATGGTTGTTATTAACAATATTACATTTTACCACTTCTGTCAGAATATGCTGCTGTTCTTTTAAGCTGAATACAAACGCCTGTGCTTTTGAGCACTATCATGTTCAGTGGGGTTTGAAAGCGTGCGACCAGCATGGCACTAAAGCTACACTACAATTATCAGGAGACAAGGGAGCAAAAACTAACATAACAAATACAAAGCAAAACTTTTTGCTACAAAAATAGTATGTTACGCCTTCCCAACTGATTCAACTAAAGACATTGAAACAAATGATGTGTTTTTGCAACAGGGTGTTAGTAACAAAGTGCCTAAAGATTAAATTTAAAATTAGTTCTTCGCTAAGTTGTGTGTTCTGTCAAGAAAACATTGGTTCATCTCTTGATGCTAGAATGAGTCATAGGTCAGTCATAGGTTAAATGAGTGTGTTTATCTGAAACAACAGAGCATAGTAAAGCATCCCAAAAAATACATGTTGCAAAATGTATTAAATTCCTTCTTCAGAAAGCTAAAGTTATAAATGTAAATGGTATTGTAATAAAAAAAAACATATTTATATTAAGCAGGGCTGTCAAACTCATTTAAAATTGTGGTTCAGGCACAGCCCACTCTCATCTTAAGTGGACCTGACCAGTGAAACTTCATGACAAATGTGTAAAATTACAAAAAATTGTTCTAACAGTTCATTATACAGATAATAAACTTAAAGTTTTTGTTTATTTACCATGGACTCACTAGTAATGGAAAAACGGGGGACTTTCCTGTAATTTAATTGTTTATCTGTTAGTTGCAGTGGGACAGGCAGTTAAAAATTAAAAATCTATGCACGCCTCCACATTTTTTAAAGCTGTCCATTGGTCCAGATTTGGAGCCTTTGCCCGATCAATTCTGGCCCCCGAGCCTTACATTTGCCCTAAAGCTCAAATGACATATAATGTAATTTAATTTACCAAATGATGTATTCTTTATGAAAAAATGATACCGCCATTAAAGGATTACACTGCTATTTTAACTGTACTTAAAGACTGCTTTATAGTTTGTTTGTATTTTTTTAATTCGAGCGTTACATTCACGCTGCGACTTGCGTCAGAAACTACTTCCGGTGTCCACGTAAGGTAGGCATCAGGCGTAAACAGTGTAAGTATCGTGCTATAGTAAGTGTATAGCATCTGGCAGGGCTAGTGTAGCCTCAGAACGGCCCCTACACTAATCTTATGTTTTATCCAGGGCAAAGACGTAATTGTTTTGTTGCGGTGTGCTCTGTCTTCGCCATGTTTTTTCACGCAGGATGTCTTCGTAGTTTGCTATGGACCGGCTGTCGAAGGTCATTCTCACTTGTTTGACTATAGCAACTAGCTGTCGATCTGAAAAATCACCCCCACACCAAATTTATAAAGAAATATTCCTCTGCTTGGTAACGTAAGCAAATAATACTACATGGGTGGACAACATTGCCCGCTCCCAGGAGCTCATAATTCTTGTTAATTCACTCCCGCATGCTGCATGCTTTACCGTCTGTCATCATAACTTCCCGTGATTTAACATGAAATTAATTTTAAATTACTTTCTCATTAACAAATACACCTATTCGCGGCCTTTTGATCAAAAGGATCCTTCTGAGAAATTCGGCATACTTAATGTAAATTAACTTTACATTATTGCTTTAAATATCAGTCTTTATCCCCGGCGTGCCGGCTGTTATCAGCGTTAGCAAACGCTACCTATACAATCTTAACTCGATTAAGCGGTGGTAGCTAAGCATAAGAAACGATAAAAATGGCACTAAAAGATATGCCGATTATAAAAGGAGGCGGTCACTTTTCATTTAACATACAGAGCCACGTTTTATGGAGCGTTGTTAGTTTGTTATTGCCGTGCCGCCGGCTCAGTGTTGCCAGATCCTGATGGTGTTTGGCGTGTCTTGACCAGTGCCAATGAGAAGCGAGTGCAGTGCTAATCCTGGATTACCAAGCGCACGAACCTTACTGCAGTTTAAAACCAGCGGCACAAGTGAATATTAAAATTGACCTACAGTAAACATGGTTATAATCAGAGCAGCAGTTATCCTTCAGTTAGATCTTATTTTGATGGCTCTGATATGTCCTCTCTTCGTCTCTTCCTTTCACATCTTCAGCTTCGTCTATGGACCTCTGCCTGCTTCTTGTGTGTCAGTTAATTCCACTTGATTCACAAGATCAGCACTGGACCAGTTGCCTCAAACACTGCATTTTATAATCATGTGAGTGTGATTTTTCTTTTCCAGAATGGGGAATTTAACCTCCTCCCATCCAAGGGGTCTGTCCAGCACTGCCTGTTTACAGTACGTTCAGGTAAGACCTGCTACATACAAGCAGTTTGTTACTTTGCTGGGTATGGTAGCGTGCAGTGGGTCTTTGTGTAACTTGTTTTCAGTTGTGCAGGTCTCACAGGCTTATGTATTTTTTTTATGGATACACAACCATGACATATTCTGTCTGATTCAATACATGTTTTACCTGAAGACTTTTGAATTAAACATATGTCATGCAGCACACCTAGAAGTGAAATGTGTGAATACACGTGTTCACAAACAAATATAAATAAATCTGTGACAAGGCCCTGTAATGTTTCAGGGGTATGCCTATCTTCTGTAGACTGCATGAAAATGGGTGTAAGGTCTGGGTCTGAAAAGTGAAGCCTTAAATCTGCATTCTTTTTAAGTGCCACCAGGGGGCGGTATGCGTGGCTGCAGAAACTGAAGGTACTGCAGAAATTTATGAGGAAAACTGGCTCTAATTTAGTAAATTATGGTCATTCATCTTGTGCGGCTGCATTTTACATACTTGCCTCTATTATAGGTGTTATATCGGTCCATTACACAGTAGTCAGTCAACAAATCTTTCCATTAAATGACCTGAGTGTGATTACAAAGTGCACAACTGCATGCATCAAGATGCCTTGAGGTTTTCTTGTGCACATCAGTTTTACACTTCTCCAGATCAGTCGCTCTGTGGTATCAGAGCATGTCATCTTGTCAGTGGCATGTTTAACTTTGAAGGCGGTCTGCTTATGAGTGGAGGTGACATCCTAAAATCCATTAAGACACCACCGACTCATCAATAATTAGAAATGTGTTTTAGCCACATGAAGAATGAGCAATCTTTTAGAAACTTCTTAACTTTAAAACAAAGTCTTGTGCATTCAAATTGACTGCATCCTTAAACTTAAAGGCCTTTGCATTCAGGTGTTCCAAACAGGAAAAAATTCAAATAAAACTGGTGGTTAATCAGAATTCTTTCTACATCTGTTGACTATATCCCAGCTAAAGCTATAGATCTGTGGTTACTGACGTTACCTCCTTTACCAGCTTACCCTAAAGTGAGTAGAGCAGACAACACTCTGGTGATGAATCATCAATCTGCTAGAAAGAATGCAAAGAGGAGGAGCCGTCCTCATGCTGGTGTAGAAATGTGCTTGTTGCCCTCAAAAAGGAAGCCGTGAAACTTCCACCATAATTCTGCAATTGGGTCTCTGCCCGAAGTGGAGATAAAATCCTTCTCGCCCTTCACCAACTTGATTCCTGCTATGCTGAAGCTGTTTCTGGACTCCACACTCATAACTAAGTATTCTAATTGTGTCTGCCCTTTCAGGATGTGGTGTCACAGAACTGTGTTGTGATATTTTCCAAGACCACCTGCCCATATTGTAAAATGGCCAAAAACGTCTTCAACGAAATTGGCGCAACCTACAAAGTGATTGAACTGGATGAGCACAATGACGGGCGGAGTCTGCAAGAGGCCCTAGCTCAGATGACCGGTGCCAGGACGGTAAGAAGGACCTCACCTTCGTGTGCTTTTTTTTTTTTTTTTAAGTAGAAGAAGAATCAAAACACACATCTCTGACAGCTTGTTTGTTCTGGCAGCTCTGCCTTCAAGTTAAATTTAGGTGGAGTTAACAAGCATCTTTGTTGGGGTTGCAGCCAAGATTGAGGACTTTATAGGCGCTCAGAATAGCTGACTCTGAGTCAGGATGAATCCCCATAGCAAGTCCCATCTTTTTACATCATAGCCTTTGCTCTGTTGCTCTTTAGTCAATTTCCAATATGCGAGAGTTCTGAAAACATGGAAACGAGGAAGGCTGTCCACACATGAACACTGTGCATTAAAACAATGAAGCTGAAAAACACATACATAGGCCGTCTGCTTTACCTTCAGGTGTATGCCACTGCAGCCTTGCTCATGTTCCCTGGCCTCAGCTTGAAAGCTATGAAAGTTGATAATGAATTTTATAATTCAAAATAGGAGCATCTCGACTCAGGGTCGCTGTTAGGGTATATATTTGTTTTGTTTTTTATCAGAGAATCAGCGTGTCCTTGTGCTCGTACACGTTATCTGTGAAGTGTTATCGAACCAGATGTTTCAAAGCCCATGTAACTAATAAAGAACAGTATGTAATTTAAATCACTCAATACTTTTATAGTCTAAATATTTAATCATTACATTTTCATGGCAAATTGAACAACATCTTGCTGCCCACCATCCACAAGGGGGCAGCAGCCCACATTTTGGGGCTCATCGATTTCAACAACTCCAGGGAGTGCAGAATTATTAGGCAAGTTGAATTTTTGAGGAATAATTTTATTATTGAACAACAACCATGTTGTCAATGAACCCAAAAAACTAATTAATATCAAAGCTGAATGTTTTTGGAAGTAGTTTTTAGTTTGTTTTTAGTTTTAGCTATTTTAGGGGGATATCTGTGTGTGCAGGTGACTATTACTGTGCATAATTATTAGGCAACTTAACAAAAAACAAATATATACCCATTTCAATTATTTATTTTTACCAGTGAAACCAATATAACATCTCCACATTCACAAATATACATTTCTGACATTCAAAAACAAAACAAAAACAAATCAGCGACCAATATAGCCACCTTTCTTTGCAAGGACACTCAAAAGCCTGCCATCCATGGATTCTGTCAGTGTTTTGATCTGTTCACCATCAACATTGCGTGCAGCAGCAACCACAGCCTCCCAGACACTGTTCAGAGAGGTGTACTGTTTTCCCTCCTTGTAAATCTCACATTTGATGATGGACCACAGGTTCTCAATGGGGTTCAGATCAGGTGAACAAGGAGGCCATGTCATTAGTTTTTCTTCTTTTATACCCTTTCTTGCCAGCCACGCTGTGGAGTACTTGGACGCGTGTGATGGAGCATTGTCCTGCATGAAAATCATGTTTTTCTTGAAGGATGCAGACTTCTTCCTGTACCACTGCTTGAAGAAGGTGTCTTCCAGAAACTGGCAGTAGGACTGGGAGTTGAGCTTGACTCCATCCTCAACCCGAAAAGGCCCCACAAGCTCATCTTTGATGATACCAGCCCAAACCAGTACTCCACCTCCACCTTGCTGGCGTCTGAGTGGGACTGGAGCTCTCTGCCCTTTACCAATCCAGCCACGGGCCCATCCATCTGGCCCATCAAGACTCACTCTCATTTCATCAGTCCATAAAACCTTAGAAAAACCAGTCTTGAGATATTTCTTGGCCCAGTCTTGACGTTTCAGCTTGTGTGTCTTGTTCAGTGGTGGTCGTCTTTCAGCCTTTCTTACCTTGGCCATGTGCTCTGAGTATTGCACACCTTGTGCTTTTGGGCACTCCAGTGATGTTGCAGCTCTGAAATATGGCCAAACTGGTGGCAAGTGGCATCTTGGCAGCTGCACGCTTGACTTTTCTCAGTTCATGGGCAGTTATTTTGCGCCTTGGTTTTTCCACACGCTTCTTGCGACCCTGTTGACTATTTTGAATGAAACGCTTGATTGTTCGATGATCACGCTTCAGAAGCTTTGCAATTTTGAGACTGCTGCATCCCTCTGCAAGATATCTCACTATTTTTGACTTTTCTGAGCCTGTCAAGTCCTTCTTTTGACCCATTTTGCCAAAGGAAAGGACGTTGCCTAATAATTATGCACACCTGATATAGGGTGTTGATGTCATTAGACCACACCCCTTCTCATTACAGAGATGCACATCACCTAATATGCTTAATTGGTAGTAGGCTTTCGAGCCTATACAGCTTGGAGTAAGACAACATGCATGAAGAGGATGATGTGGACAAAATACTCATTTGCCTAATAATTCTGCACTCCCTGTATGTCAAACTTGCAGCCCTTTGGCGTAAACTAGCACCTCCAAAAAGGCCAGTCTGGACGACTGGATCCAGTATTGCTGAGCATGAGGATGTATGCTGTCTTTTTCCTTTTAATTACAAAGTATCTTCTCTTTCTGTAATTCCATCCATTTTCTGCTACTTGTCCAGGTCTGGGTTGTGGGGGCAGCAGTCTAAGCACAGATGCCCAGGCCACCGTCTCCCCAGCCATCTCCTTCAGCTCTTGCAGCTGAGGCATTCCCAAGCCAGCCTAGAGAGATCTAATTTCTCAAGCATTGCCCAGGTCTGCCCCAGGGCCTCCTCCCGCTTGAAAAATGCCAAACAAACTCACTTAGAAGGCATCATAGTCAGGTGTCTGAACCACCTCAGGAGTAGTGGCTGTACTGTTAGTCCTTCCTGAATAACCAGGCTCCTCACCAGGGTCAGCGAGCCCTTGGAGGTGGCCCATTTCCTCTACTTGTATTCTTTAGATCACTAGCTGCTCCTACTTTAAGTTGTAAAAATTCATTAACAGCTCACACAGCTGTCAAGTTGGGGCCAAGAAAGAACACAAACAAACCTGGAACTACAAATAGACTGTGTGTGGGTCTTGAATGCAAAGACAGATTGGAGATGTGAGATGGCATATGAAACTTGGGGGAAAAAACCTAACCTAATCTGAAATTGTTGATCATTAGCAACTCATTCATAGCATGCTAAAGTCTGTATCCCCCTGACACCCTCCCCCCTCTTTTTTTCTCTGTTTAGGTCCCAAGAGTCTTTGTCAATGGCCATTGCATTGGGGGCGGGTCTGATACCAAACAGCTCCATCAGCAAGGAAAGCTGGTGCCTCTGATCGAGCAGTGTGCTTCCTGCTGTGCTGCCACGGGCTCTGAAGGCTCAGGCGCCAGACAGTTTGAGGCGGCCAAATGACTAACCGTTCTTACGGTTTTTATCAATGCACCACTTATCACATGCTTGCTTGAGCTCATGCTACAAGGTGTACATTGCTTGAGCATGACTATAGTATTTATGCATCAAAGTGCGGTGGATACTTGATGTAAAAATACATTTTCATCCAGGGATGTACATTATTATGATAATGATGATGATATTGTTTTTAATATTATTGTTATGGCCTCTGTGTAAAGCGTGGGATTGCTGTATTACTCGTACAGCACTTGTACATGTTTGTTTTATTGAACAATATTACACTTCACTGAACTGTGAACATCTTGATGTATTGATTCTACCTTAGCCGTTGGTTTTTATTTCAGGTAACTTTTCATATTTTTCAAGAGCAAAAGAGGTACACTTTGTAAAAATATGCAGAGTATTGTGCTGTTATTTGCATAAAATGTGAATAAATTTAGTAATTTGTGTATTTTTTTTTTACAGTTGTCCTATTGCTTTCTACCACCCCTAAGCAGTCGCGGGGGATTGCTGCCCGTTCCTGGTTCTGCCAGGGGTTTCTTCCTGTTAAAAGGGTTTTTTTTCTCTTCCTACTGTCCCCAAGTACTTGCTCAAAGAGGGGTAATTGATTTTTGAGGTTTTCACTGTATTATTGTAGGGTATTTTCCTTATAGTAGAAAGTGCCTTGAGGCGACTGCTCTTATGATTTTTGCTATATAAATAAAACACAATTGAACTGAAGTAGACTGATAAGAAATCCTGTTACAAATATACGCATTATGGACAATCTTTAGGTCACGCCAACATTAAGAAGTTCCTGAATCTTTGACTTTAGAGCTAGACATTGAATTCATTAAATTAGTAAATAATAATTACTACAAAAAATAGAGTGAATAATGATTTTCACATATTAAATATGAAGGAAATTCCGTTATAAAGTCGCAATGTGTCCCTTCTACAAAGGGCGCTCCATATGTCAATGCTTCACCTCACATGAGGGCGGGTACTGGTTGCCGTGCCGGGAGAAAGAGATTGTTTTTATTATTTCTATATTTGTTTTTATGCATTTATTTTTTTTAAACAATGTAGTTACGGATGTTGTTAATAGAATGTTAGTAATCGAATTTTTTTTTTCTTTGCCAATTACACCATTCCCGTGCGTTGTACGCTCTGAAACAAAACGCGCGCAACCATCGCGTCCACATTGCGCCGCATCACGGTGAGGTCATTGTCGTGCTGCGGTTAAATTAGCCTGGCTAACGGGAGCAGTGCACTGCTAAGCTATTAGCATTTCGTTTATGTGTGCTGTAGGCTGAATAAGTAACAGTGTGAAGGATGTCTGGAAGTGCAGGAGAGTGGTGTCTCATGGAGAGCGACCCCGGGGTTTTCACGGAGCTCATAAAAGGTTTCGGTGAGTGACTCGTAGGGTGACGCTAGCGGCTCATTGAATGTAACGTGTCTGTCTCGACAAGCTAGCTAGGTGGTTAACTGGAAACAATAAAGCTAACAATAGCTTCCAAATTGCTACTTCTTACTTTTGTATTGCAACAGGAAAAAATTTTACATACTGTGCATCTTTATTACACCTTAATGATGAATGATTTGCTTGTAATAATTGGGTCGCTACTTTAATTTGGCGAGCTAAATAGCTAGCATTACTCAGCGTTCAAAACAACGCGCGTGAAAGCAACCCCTTTGACATGTGTCGTGCATTCTCAGCTGTCAGACTACAAATGATTTCTCTCCGTTAATTAATGGTTACTTGAACGGTAATTAGCAATGTAAATAAATGTTCGCTGCTTCACTTGTCATTGTCAGGCTGCAGAGGAGCCCAGGTTGAAGAGATATGGAGTATGGAGCCAGAGAACTTTGAAAACTTGAAGTATGTTCATCTACACCTCTTATCTTGCATGCCTCTGCTAAAGACAGGTCTTTTTAATGTATGTGTTTTGTTACAGACCCGTTCACGGGTTGATTTTCCTGTTTAAGTGGCAGCCTGGTGAAGAGCCAGCAGGATCAATTGTCCAGGATTCAAGACTTGATCACATCTTCTTTGCCAAGCAGGTACTCCTAGCATTACAATTAATATCCCTGTGTTCATTTAGATGCATTTGACTCACTATCTTCACTGCAGAAGCAATGCATTTTCCAGTTAGTTAGTGTTGGTGGCGCTTACCAGACGAGAAATGAAGTGGCTCTGCAAAAGGCTCTAGTTCATGCACATTGGAAAATGAATGAGATAATAAATTGCAGCACATCTTACTTGGCTGGATAAATCTCACTAAGCCCACACCAAAGGATGCTGCTCCTCAGTGTAAAAAAAAATATATATATATATATATATCTTGAGATACCTGATCTGCAGAAAATGTTTAAAGTTATATTTTTTTGTTAAATGTTTATGTTCATTATGTTTATGATCAACATGCAGATCCCACTTCCAGTCTCGTGTCATAGTTTGTTTTTAATTGGTCTATTTATTTTGTGCCTCTCTGATCTGTGTGTTTTCAGGTCATTAACAACGCTTGTGCCACCCAGGCCATCATCAGCGTTTTGCTCAACTGCTCTCATCCTGACATGTTGCTCGGCGATACGCTGACGGAGTTCAGAGAGTTTTCACAGAGTTTTGATGCAGCTGTACGTCAATGGTATTTTTGTCTCAAATCCAAATTTAAAAAATAAATAAAAAAGGAAGGGGAAAAATCTAACCGAAAAATAGATTTCAAGACATTTTATTATTTTATACATTTTATGAGATGGCTCAGCCATCTGTCCTTCAGATTGTCATGAGAACCATACTGACTCAGTATAGTTTGTTTTTTTTGTTGTTGTTGTTGTTGTTTTAGGGTTTGTTTTTTTTATCGCATAAAGAGGAAAAAAGAAAACATTTTCAGCAGCATTGTAGTGTAGCGGTTAGCACTGTTGCCTCACAGCAAGCTAGTCCTAGGTTTGAACAGCCATCGCGCACCCAGGGCTTTTTGGTGTGGAGCTCTTTTTTTCTGTGCAAGTTCTCCCCTGGCGCCCTGGTTTCCTCCCACAGTTCAAAGGCATGTGTGGGTTTGGGTCATGTGTGATTCTAAATTGGCAGTAAGTGGGAATGTGAGCGTAAATGATTGTCAGTCTTGTGACAGTCTGGTGACCTGTCCTGGGCATAGATAGCTTTTTAGCTAGCCTTTCACGCTATGAGAGCCGGGATAAGCAAATATTTTTGTTAGGAAGCCTTAGCTATTCGAAGCACTTAAGATTACAAGCCACATTTTACCCATGTATACATCGGTTTGCACTCTAGACTCTGAGCGCTCACACCCATGCATGTCTGTGGATTGTGGGGGGAAAATGAATACCCAACCACACTGAGAAGATGCAGACTCCACAAAGAGAAATCCCAGCTAATCCACAGACTAGATTAGGAGTTATTCATGGACCACAGCAGTATTCTTGGGCAAGATTCATTTATTGGAGTCTTAGTGTTGGATAGAAAGCACATAGACAAGGGAAAGAAACACTTGTAGAATGAGACATGTTGTATAAAACACTCAAGTTGAGTATAAAAGTGCTACATAAGAACCAGTCCATTTACCATTTTAAAGATGTTAACTCATTAGCCTCTATCATTGTCAAAGTTCATGCATTTGTAACAAAGATCAGTTCAAAATTCAATGAGATCTGAGGATTATGTTTTTAATTGTATACGGACCTTGACCTCTATATACAGACATGGGAAGGCTCGGCGGCTCCGCAATCATGTTGACACATTGTTCTAATGAACAGTAGCATCAGTCGGTTTATTATATGTACTATACGTTGGTAGCAGTCAGTAATATAATAATTTACTGTAATGACTTGTTAACAAACTATTTAAACACATGATGAGAAAAGAATTAAGTGGTGTCTTGTGACGACCCGTAAAATCAGCATCTTCTCCTCTCCTCAGATGAAAGGTTTGGCTCTCAGCAACTCAGAAGTGATCCGACAAGTTCACAACAGCTTTGCCAGGTGAGGCTCTGCTCCTGTCATTTCCAGCTGGGGAAGATGAAAAATAAAAGAGATTGGTCGATTTGTTTGTCAGTGGACGAGTGTGCCTTTTTTGTAAGACGGGCAAATGTGAGAGTCACTTCTGTTCTGTCCTGCATCCTCGCTTGCTCGATAATTTGTGTATGAGGTTTTTTGTAATTGTGTTTTTTGCGTTTGCAGACAGCAAATGTTTGAATTTGATGCAAAGTCTTCGGCGAAGGACGAGGACGCATTCCACTTTGTGAGCTACGTTCCTGTAAATGGCAGGCTATATGAGCTGGACGGGCTTCGAGAGGGGCCGATCGACCTGGGTAAGCAGAAAAATGTCCTTTGTTATTTTTTTTCATTATGGTTTTAACAGCTTAGTACAAACTGACAGTTTAATGTTTAAAGTCCCTCGGTGTGCAGCCCTGCTGTGCACAGCTGATTTTTGTCTTCTTGGCTGTGCTCCATTCCTCATAAAGCTGCCTGTTTTTTATGATGATGTAGAGTGTGTGCTTGGGGTTAGTGCAGGTGTCAGTGTATGCGCTATTATTTATTTATTTTTTCCTTTTTTTTTGTCACCAGGTGCATGCAACCAGGATGACTGGATCAGCGCAGTCCGCCCTGTGATTGAGAAAAGAATACAGAAGTAAACATTGTGTGTTGTACATGTATTTCACGAACGGCTTGCGTTAACCAGGTACTTTGTAATTACACGTCATTGTTTCCTTCTTCAGGTACAGTGAGGGAGAGATCCGGTTCAACCTAATGGCCATCGTGTCTGACAGAAAAATGATATATGAGAGGAAAATTGCGGAGCTCCAGGCCCAGCTTACTGAGGTGAGAGGCAGTGAAAGGGGTTGAATCCAGTGAAGACGTGACAGAGAATCATTTTTTATTCTGTTGCTTTCTGCCTCTGAGGCAACCTGTATAATGCGTCAGCAGCTTTCAAAAGTTGGAGATCATAAAGCTCTGCTACACTGGAAGTGAAGAGAAAGAAAGAAATGAGGCAAGAAATGTTTTGTGGACTTCATCTATTCCTTTTTTTTTTTTTCCCATAAGTAATACGATGGGTCAGAGAGGGACTCGAATGTCTGTCATGTTGATGGACAGGGTTGTAAAAATTCTGTCATCTCATTTAACTTAATAACATTGCAATTTCAAACCCAGCTGAACCAAAATAACATGCAGAACAGAGTCCGTTTATGGGGATATGCAACCGAAACAGACTGCACATGTGTCATGTTGTTATTACAACAGGCAAAAATGGACTGAAGCACGGTGCTTGCTTGAATATAAACAAATATAGCAGGGATGTTGCTGCAGAGGAAATTAGGGGTGGGCGGTAGAAACGGTAGAAACGATATAAATTTGGCCAATGGTAGAGATTTTTACTCTACCGCGATAGCGCATGTTGATGGTGTCATCAAGCTGCGCCTGTTTTGGTTGAAAGCATCGCAGCGGCTGCAAACAACATCATCTGCAAATTATGCCGGGCGACAGTCATAGCAAAGACACAAAGCACTTTTGGAATATGAGGAAAGCCAAAAACTGCGCTTCCTCCACTTCCCTACCATTGATTCATTAATGCTGAATTCTCTTGCAGCCGCTCTATTCCCGTGTTGTTGCAGTATATTAATGACTAACCTCGTTTTTTTTGGATGGATTATCTCAGTTGTTCTCCTGACTGAAGTTTGGTCCGTTTATAGCCCCTAACCACCAGAAACCCTCACGTTTACTTTTATCGAGTGGAAAAAAACTTAGCGTTCATCCTTCAGCTTCACTGTGCTAATGTTATGCTAACATAGCTGTGTCGCTAGCGATCACGTAGGACATCATTATATACCATCTAGCCCAACTTCAGTAACCCTACAAACGTCACTGCTTAGTTTTCTGTCTTAATTTATGTTGGAAGTGATAGCAGAGCTGTATGGGCTCAAAATGTGGTCATAAATATTTTGTACTTGTAAAAAAGATTTGTATGTGTAAAAAAGATTTCTATGTGTAAAAAAAGATTTGTGTGTGCGTAAAAAAGATTTGTATGTGTAGAAAAAAAACCCTGCAAGTTACAAGTACGGATTTTGACCCTATTTTTCTTCCTTTCATCTGATTGGTCAATGTCATGTCAATCACAAATGTAACAATCCAATCAGAGAACAGATGGGTTTGGCTGTCGAGGGGCGCTTTTTTTGAACTGCAGGTCTTTGAAGGGAATAAATGCCCTTTTACATGCCAACCCAGCGTTTTCCTTCATCACCACGAAGGAAAACAGTCTGTGGTCGTCCGAGTTTGGTGATTTTTGTGTCACAGGTCTACGTGTTTAATACAGGGACTTCCACAGCCTTTTCAACAGCGCTGCGGACCGCGGGGTGGGGGCGGGCAGTGTTTTGGAAATGACAGTCTTCATTACAAAGCTTTCTTCGTTATGAATTAGCATACATGTTTTTATTGAACATTTGAAGAACCAGCAAAAAAAACAAACTCTTGTAGAGGACATAAAGTCAGAGATAGAAAAGACAAGGAGCAGGTGCATCTAGTACAGGTAGAGCTGCTGCAAAAACCCACAGAGCCCAGCAGCCAGCGTAACAAATTCTGGATCCTTTGCTTTTAGTTAGCAGTTAGCATTAGCAGCGTATCCTGCATCCGATGTGAAAGGACTTTTATGCTGCGCACTGTGACTCACAGCAATGGTCCTGGGTCAGCCCTGACTTTGTGTTAAACTAATCCTAAAGTAATAATGTTATTTCTAACCACTGATATACCACAACTTTTTCCTTTCAACAGCTACTGAAAGTTAGGGGACCTAGCTGCTATCGGATATTTATATAGCGATCCTCCAGCTTCAAACGGTATCACCCTTCAAGGACCTGCAGTTCAAAAAAGCGCCCCTCCGACAGCCAAACCCATCTGTTCTCTGATTGGATTGTTACATTTGTGATTGACATGACATTGACCAATCAGATGAAAGGAAGAAAAATAGGGTCAAAATCCGTACTTGTAACTTGCAGGGGTTTTTTTTCTAAGTCCACACACAAATCTTTTTTACGCACACACAAATTCTTTTTACACATACAAATCTTTTTTACAAGTACAAAATATTTATGACCACATTTTGAGCCCATAGAGCTGTACGTTTTAATTTTTTTGGTTTTGGACCCAGATTACTCCACAAGGCTCCTGACAACGGCAGCCATAATGCTCCGACAATCCATCAGGTGGTGCAGCTTCGTAGCTTACCAAAGTCGTACTAAAACATTTTTGACAGATTTTTGAGTGCCGTGTACCACATAAAATCAGTTTGAGGTCAGTAAGCACAACCAGAATTCATACATAAGGCACACTGTCGATTTTTGAGAAAATTAAAGGATTTTAAATGTGCCTTATAGTGTGTAAAATACGTTATAGAGAAGAAAATAATATATCGCGATATATATCGTTACCGCACATGCTTCAAATTATACCATGATAGGGATTTTAGGCCATATCCCCCAGCCCTAGAGGAAATTCATTTGTCCCTCTTGTTTCAAAACAGCTGCCAAATGACCTCGAGAGAGGTTCTGAGCTCCATCTGAACCAACTTTCAAATGTACACTTCAAGTTTGAACTACAAAACATTCATAGCAGGGTATACTTTATTATTATTATTATTATTATTATTATTATTATTAGTCCTTTATTTATACAGGTAAAAAATGTCATTGAGATTAAAAATCTCATTTTCAAGAGAGACCTGGCTTCATGGCAACGAAAGTCAAAATACACATACCACATAAGTATATAACATTTAAAACAAATACAATATCCCATACCCATTTATATTCTTAATGCGGGAACGTTCTATAGATGTCCAAACGTTTGTATGGGCTAGCAACTACCTGTGAAACAAACGTAAATTCTCAGTCTTCTCAAACAGGAAACAGACTTTTGTTGCTCCGCCTCGGTGGAAAAGCTACATGTTTAAAAGCTTTTTAAAAAACTCACTTTTTATATGAACAAATAAATTGAGATAAATGTGTAACTGTACATACTTGTGATTAATTTCAAACTGAATTTCTGTTATTACTGTGGCCGACCTGCAGTACCATCATGTCCCACCAGGGGCCCCCAACGCACACCTTAAATCAGTGCTGAAATGATGGGACTGAAGTACTGAAAACGTTTTACCTTTTGAATGAATATACAAGCAGAACGGCTGTAGAGGGGGAGAAACAACCCTGTTAGGCTTACTGTGAAACAGAAGCTCTGTGGGCCACTTTGAGGCCCATCTATGTATTAGTACATAACGACAGCCTAACAGCTTTTTAAAATGGTAAAAGGAAAAGAAGCAAGCCGCTCTGAATTAAATTTAGGCTAAAGTCCGGCTGCGGATCTCTCCGTTCACTGCTAAGTTCTCCCTTCTCCTGTGTCACTTTTCCTTTTTTGGATGTGGAGCCCAAAGCTTGGGGAACGGAGCTTTTTGCCATTTATGTGTATACAGCCGTGCTCCCCACCACTGTCGAGGTTCAGGAAAGTTGAGACGATAAGGCAGGTGATGCAAACATTCACTTTTGTATCTATATAAGCTCGACATCAGTTATCATCAATGATGAATAAAAATGAAATGCCCACTGTTCATTTTCATATTCGTCTATTTTTTTTTTTTCTTTGCCCCCCATTATTAATTCAAAACCACAGTGAGCCACTGAAGATGAGCAGAGAGCACCATGTGGCTCTGGCTGTGGTTCAAGACTCCTTTTAGCTGTCGGTATTTATGCTCATTGGTTCAGGATCAGAGATTGCATCAAAAAGACAAGCGTGGAAAAGTTTTACATCGGCTGCTGGCTTACACGAGTAAAAACTAAAAGTTAACCCAACTTTTCAAACAACACAAGAACTGCATATCATCTTACAGTAATGGATACTCTGCTGAACATAACTGGCCTTTTCTCATTCCTTCTGATTAATAGTGAGACAGTCCCTTTTTTTAGTCTCTCTGCACAGAAATTTATTTTCTTAAAGCTTTTGAAGGCAAACATTTGTAGAAACTTGTTTCAGAAAAGGAGTTTAAGACTGTCTATGGCTGATCTTTACACTCTGACACTGGTTGAAATGTCAAACCTTATTCCACTGCTTGATAACGTATATTAGATAAAATATTGAGTTTACATGACCTGCCATGAGTGAAAGATTTCATATTTATGAAATCAATGGGATTTCATGTATATGAAAGGGGCTGCACAGATACATGAGCCAAACATGGATATCAGCTTATCAGCAAACTGCCTGACATTTATCTATCTGTTCACATTCAGTTAATGATTGGAAGTTTCGCAAAATCTGTGATTTGTAAAGGGTTAAGGATTTTAAGTCCCCGCTCCCCCCTTTTTAAGAGAGAGAATCTTTGAACTTCAAATTAAAATGAAAGAGTTGGAACAAATACAACTTGGCACCTTTTGCGCTGTTAGAAAGCGGCCTGTTTGTTGCTGTTTAGCTGACCTTTATTTAAATACAGTTCAGGCTAGGGCTGTGGGATATGACCAAAATCCCGATATAAGACATCTATCATCCCGATAATGATATAAATCACAAAAATTTAACATTTTCTGTAAATTCTGTGAATCTCGGGCAGCTCGACGTGCGTGAAGTGTTTCCAGCTGGGCGTCGTGTACCTGGAGTCGAGTGTTTTAACCGATGCATGAAACGATACATTTTTAGACATAAGTTGTAAAGGCCGCCGTTTTCTTCGAGTATTTATTACACAGCGGGCAAAAAGCTTGTTCTAACGTTTGAGTCTAAGGTTTATTTTTTTAGCACCTGACGACTATTTTATGCTTCTCATCCGTAAACATTCTGCAAACTCTTTCACGTGATTCAGTTTATTTTGAAAAGTCTCAACAGGATCTTGAGCTTTATTGTGAAAGGTTTATGTGGAAAACAAACAAGCGGACACGCGATGATGGTTTTACCATCGTTGTTGCTAACGACAACGCATAAAAACAGGCGCTTGTCTGTCTGTAGTGTGGTTATATTAAATATAAGAGAAAAAGAGAACTTTAAGAAATTAATATAGCCACTACAGTGACCATCAAAACAATGAAAAATATATTGCTGTAAACAGTTTATTTTGTGACACCACAAAACAAGCGATGGCGTAAAATGAAACGATAGACGTTTTTATATCGTCATCAGCTATATATCGTTATATGAACAGCCCTAGTTCAGGCTGGTCCTGCTGACTGATCAGAATAGCAGGGCGTAGGTTTGAGCTCTTTTTATTTGGGGTTTCAAAGTGGGGCCTGCCAGAGAAGAGCAGGTGTCTTAAGAGAGTGATGAAAGAAAGCTGGCCTCTCTCTGATTGAAAGCTTTAGGCCGTTGCCATGGTCCTGTGCACTGTTATGGGATGTTGCTGTAACTAACCACACCTAACATTCACAAAAGTTTTCTCAATGATGGGTGGAAGAATGTAAAAATGACTAAACATATTGTTCACTGCAGCTCATTATCTAGTGTCTTGCTTCTGTTAAGACTAATAAAATCGTTGCCTGTGTTATTTTTTCCATATCTTGGTGATTAAAGCCATTTGCAGAGCTTTAGCTGCTGCGTGCGTTTCATCTACTTATCATCACCGTTTTTTCTGAGTGCAAGTATTCAGTGAGTGGACGGAAACCTTCTCCCGCCTTCTGTTTCCAGGATGAACCAATGGACACAGACCAGAGCAGCACGTTCCTCAGCTCCATCCAGTCAGAGATTGCCAAGTACCAGCTCCTTATTGAAGAAGAAAATCAGAAACTAAAAAGATATAAGGTGGGTCTCTTCTTCAGTAATAATTTCATAATGTTGCATGTGATGTGTCTTACAGAAAGCCGGTCCATGAAGAAGTAATTCTCCTTCCAGAAAGATTGGTGGATGCGGATTTTTTATTATTATTTTTCTTTCTTACAGATTGAAAATATTCGACGAAAGCACAACTACCTTCCTTTCATCATGGAGCTGTTGAAGACGCTGGCAGAGTACCAGCAGTTAATACCTTTGGTGGAGAAGGTAATTTCCTCCCCACTTTCTCCAGCTTTCTACAGCCCTGTTTACTTTGAGCAGGCGAGTGTTCTCAGAAGACTCGAGTACTTTGACATTTTAAAACATTGTTCTTTTAACAAGCACATTATTTTAATTAATAAGCCGAGTGCTGCCAGCAGGTAGCTTTTATGAGCATTGGAGGAGTGATAATGAAATACCTTTTCTTAATGTGAAGGGTCTCTGTGAATTAAGAATTCCCTTTTGAGATTTTGGTGAGGGCATTTCTTCAAGAACACGCTGATTAGTGAAACTGTGTAGAAAGCCAGACTGTAATTGGCTTTTGTGTCCACTAGGGGGCAAACTTGATGTGAAAAGTAGGCGCTGTCTTTGAGTGAAGTAATTTCTGTTTATTAATACAGGACCTTTTCATGGGAAATAACTTTTCATTTCATTAATTGATTCCAACTGGACAACAAAAACAGAAAATAAATGTGTTTATTAATCTATTTGTAACTAGAGCATATGAGTTTAATTGTTGTGACTATGATAGTTTAATGGGAAATAACCAGAGGAATTATACAAAGAAATTACATGTGAAATGAGAAGGTCCTCCGTTGCTATTAATAAAAATGTCTCTGGGTTTGTTTCCCCAGGCAAAAGAGAAACAGAGTGCCAAAAAAGCCCAGGAGGCCAAGTGAACAAGAGCACACTATGATTTATACACACACACACGTCCATCCTGAACCCTACAGTCACACACACCCCACACACACACACACACACACACACACACTGTACCTGTCACATATGTATTAATGACCGAAGATGGTCTGCAGCACACTCTCACCATGGCAACCCATTAAACCATCCAGGACTGCCCTTCGGGTGTAGCCAAAAGACTGTCTGGCAAGGAAAAAAAGAAAAATCATGTGTCCATCAGCTCTAATGCATGCTCGAAGGAAAGCTGTTATCAAATGATGTTCTGTCTTATTTTCATAATAAAAATGTCTAGATGTTTGCGGACTGCTTGCTTTTATGGACCTGTATTATGCGTTCCCCTGATGTTTAGATGTGTCTGCAGATAGTTTACCCATCAGTGCTGTGTAGCTAAATTTCTACTAGTGGATCTTTGGCTCCATCTGGTGGTGTAGCGTTGAAATAGCAGGGCATGTATTTACTGTACTTCTTGAAGGCCGTGTATCAAGACTATTTTTTTCCAGGCTTTGTCATTTAATTAACATAGTGGCACACTCGTACTACAGCTGTTTTTTCTAAAAGAGCTCCTACTTAAGCAATCAGACATTCAGATCTTTGTTTTAGAGCTGGACCTGATGGGAGGACACAATCAAGCCGCCAGGTCCTTATAAGTGCATCATCAACAGTGGACTGGAAATTTAATGACGTCTGTGTGGCTTTTGGATACATTCCCATTGCAGTGTTTTGATGTTTTTTAACACTGAAGGCAAAGGATCTTCTCTTAATTTGTCAAGTAAATCAAATTCGAGACGGCGGTGTACAGAAATTGGCTGCGCTCGAACAGTGTGTGCGTCTAAAGGCCTGTGCAGACTGACGTATATGCAGAGTGCTGACCAAAGTAGGACGTGGCCCGTTTCTAAATTTGGATCCAGTATTTACACACCTTTTGAGTACTCCTTGGATCTGATCCCAGTAGTCTGTTGCCATGATGGTCCATAGCAACAAATGAGAACCCACAGGTTTTACTACCAGTTTAGAGAGAGAGAGGCAAAGACAGTTTTATTTTCTTGCATCAAGCCATGTGGATCAGCAAAGGTGTTCACTATGATGACATACCAGTTTTGCGTTTGTGAATACCAACACCCTGTGCTTTTTTTTGGACTATCTGCTGTTGTGTACACCAATTGCCATTGTTTTTTTCACGCCTATTGTATCCTTTATTTGGCTGTTGTCACAAAAATGAGTGTGATGATGTGGTAGATGGATGCAGATGTTAGATAAAAGAATTAAGATTCTAAAAATAGCCAGGCATCTAAGTAATGGAATGTGTGCTGGGTAAGTCTACTTTAAAGGTCAAGGCAAGTTTATTTGCACAGCTCATTATCACATATGATTCCTCAAAGGTCTTCAGAGGCCTGAAGCGATGACAGTTCCATAATCAGACATGGAGAAAATGTGTGGCAGAATAACATCAGCACTAGGACACAATTCACTTTTTTGTATTCCCTTACTGTTAAATTTCTCGGTTGCTTTCTTTTTGTTCAGCCAGCATTTCAAAACCCAAAAGAACTCGATTTCACAGTGACGCACAAGCATTGAGAAACAGGAACCATCGAATGTTTGGCATTGTTTGTTGACTAAGATTAGGAAGATTCATAGGTTTTCATGATAAATCTTTGGGGGGCAAATAGACACTCTGGAAGAAATACTTCTTCCAGATGTCTTTTCTCCTTTGACAACTAGATGTGCAAACTGTATAAAAAGTCTAGCAGTGCTTTGGAGAGGTATCTATGGGCTAAACACAAAGCATTAGTTCACTTTGTTTTGGGGGGTTTATTTGTTTTCATTGAGCATTAACCTTCAGCTCACTCTTCAAACCAAGTGAAAGAAAGCAGCTTTCATCTGTTGTGGTGAAGACAGCTAAAAATGAAAGCCAACCATTGAAATTAAAGCTATTTACTGTAAATTTGTGTTTCTGCCCTCACGTATGTGGGCAGGAACTGTAGAAAGTCACCAACAGAAAACAGTCACAGATGCCAGAGGCGGAAATGGGCTTCTTCCGGAGGGTGTCGGGACATGCCCTTAGAAATAAGATAAGTCACTTGGGACAGACTTGGGGTAGAGTTGCTACTCCACGTTGAAAGGAACCAGGGGATTTGAGTAGACACGCCTTAGGCAAGGTGTTTCAGGCATTTCCAGTCACTACGACATACTGGCTGGTTTCAAAGTACCTCAGTATCCCCCCCCCCCAAGGGAAGGGGGTCTCCAAGGCAATGGAGGTCTCGGCATTTGTTTAGACTGCTGCCACTGCAAACTGCACCTGAATCAGTTGAATAAAACATACATAGAAGCATGAAAGGTTTCCAGGTATAAATGAAAGGATCAAACAAATAAATATGACGTGACTAGAAGAAAGTTTCACCTAAATTACTGGTGTATCAAACATCTTTGGAGACTCCATATCCTAAACATCCCTCACCCCATAGATGTCCTGCAGTTTTATGGGAACATGAATCCAGCACAAAAACAAAGAAAGAGCAGAGTTAAACGCACTGGTATAAAATCGCTGGCTGATGGTGCTCACATCACAGAGAACAGCAGAACATATGGTTCTGGAGAGCAGCCGCTTTAAAAGATGATTCCATCTCGTCACGACAGCAGGGCAGACATCTGACAGAGAGAGCAAAAGGGAAGGTCTGGGTGTCTGGCCACTGTCAGCCACCACTGTGAGTTCACAGAAGGGGACTCTCCCTGTCAGTCAGGTGGCCCTCTTCTACACTTAGAAATTTAAACATAAGGGGTTACTGTTACAGTGTGCGAACTCAACTGTACAAAAAGGAATGCAATGTTCCAGAAAAGACGAGGAATGTTGTTGTTGGGCAACTGAACATGCTGCACGTTATCTAATAAGTCTGACTGCTCTGTTAAACATTGCGAGGCATTTATCTCAGTAATCATTTGTTATTTCTATTTTAAACAAAGAATTTGGGATTTTAAAGGTCCTCTAAAACTTTGTATTTGTACGTATTTCTTCAGCATTTCCACATACGTTCATTTGTATTTTGAATGTAACACTTTCCTCGAGTTCACATTACTGTGCACAACCTCGACATGCTGCAGGAACTGGGAAACATAACTCGTATGTAGAAAATGTATGGAAAGAAGATATAGAACAGCTAAGGACGTATTTCCCTTAAGGCCTGGTGGAGACCAAAATTTGAGTTTAAAGACTAGAAACTAACTTATTGCATTAGTATATTAGGTAACATGGCAGAAAGTAAAAAACCACCAGCAAATGTGATTTCAATACTGCTGGTGTTAGCTAGCTAGCTAACAACAGTATTTTTAGGCACAGGTGTTCAAGTATATGAAAATATCACCTTAGAGTAGAAGAATTTAGTATTATATGTGTTATATGTATATGATAATGTGTTCTGTCATGAACTCTGCAAATGCTGCATAAAAAGAGCTGGCGTGACAAAGGCAGTCATTATTTCCGTGAAGTCTTTCCTGTTTGAAACATTTGACGTTGGGTGTTGAGTCTGAGCCAAAAGTACTCTGTCAACACTTTGCAAAACGAGTACCTATGCTTTAATGTACATAGCGTACTACATTCAGTTGTAAGTATGCAAACTCAGACAAACTATATTTGACTATATTTATTCTGAAGTGTGGTTTAAAGCAACGGTATACTAAACACTTTGCACATATTAGCTTTGTACCTTGAAAAGATGTCGACTATGTTTGAGTTTTTCTTACAGGCCCCAGTTACCCCAAAAAGTTAGCTTGGGCACAAGCTAGCCTCAGCTAGTTTATTTACGTCAGCTAGCTTTTTTCTTTTTTTAATTCATTATTTTAAAATTTACTGTTGAAGTGAGTTAAGAAAAACTCACTCTAGCAGTAATGTAGATTTTACATTTCCGAGTAGTCTGCTAAAAGAGGATCCAGCTAGGGAGCTACCTTAAATCCCTTTTTGCTGACATACTACTTTTTCAGACAACTCGTGCATTCTTCAGTGCTACATATTTTGTGCATTAAACTGGTAAACAAACACATCCAGAACATTTCAGTGTTGAAGAAAACATTTTAATAACCAAACAGTCCAGCTGCTCAATGCTTAAATTCACATTAAACACATAGTGCAACATCACATATTTACAGTATCTTACAGTATCACAGTAATTTCAGGCCAAACATAGGCATTAGATGAAACTGTGTCATATAAATTACAATTGTAATTTTGTTTTAATGTAAACTGCTGCAACCAGCAGAGAAATGAAAACTAGAGGTACACGCGAGGTGTGTTTGACCATACAAAGCCTTCAAATGGATATTGTGACAGAAAACACTTCCTGTCACTGTGTTTGGTTTGATGTAAGGCAAGAGATGCAGGCAAGTGTTTTGACTTTGAATGCAGTGGAACTAGATCTGCATCATTGATCAAAATGTCTATTGGTATTGAAAAGAAGGTTCAGGTAATGGCTCAGTGATAAAAGCTTAGCATTAGTCCCATCTGCTTGAGACAGTCTGTGCACTGTCTGCAGCGACATACAGGATCTGGCCAAATCATTCCTGCTTCCTCGTTGAGAGCTCTTGACAGCACTTTGCATTTTCCACACTCGCCCGTTAATGTTTATGCTACGAATTTGCATTCAGCTGTATTATACTGAGGTAGCGCCTGGAATGAACACGGTGGACAGTCTATTTACAGTCACAGCACAGGGGTAAGCAAATGACTCCACAAGTGGGTGTCTAGTTATGCTAGGACTCAACGTCCATGTCCTCTCTTGCTGCAGCTGCATACAGTTCGTTGTAGAGGTCAGAGCTGATAAACCTGGGGTAAGAGTTGTTTTCCATCAGGTTGTAGATTTTCCTCTGAGCTACCAGGAAGCTAGTTGCAGTGGGCTTGTGGAGACTCTGTGCAATGGCATTTTTGGTGTGGAAATCCAAGTTGACCTGTGACCAAAGACAAAACATCCAGAATGAGCCTTTGACCCCCATTTTAACAAAGAATATCTTTATTATTAAAAGTGCGTGAATTCTGATTAAAATCAGCTTAAAAAGAACAAACAAATCCGAAGCCATCTGTTAGCCGTTACCTCCTTTGGCGCTTCACTTTTAATGAACTCCTCGTAAATGCGGTTTGCCTTGGACACCATTTCCTTCCGTGACTTGATCTTTTTGAACTCCTCGCAGGCTGACCAAAACTCAATGTTCTCATCGCAAAATTCGGACCTCAGAAAGATACAAAATGCAATTTTCCCATCTGCGTGAGAGATAGAGAGGGAGAAGACAAAGATTAGAAAACTACTTCCGTCACACCTACTGGCTCTTTGCCCATTCATGTAGGTGAAAGGAGTGGCAGCTTTGTTTTACTGATGACTATAAAAAGATTTCATTCGGCTCACAGTAACCGTGTAACCTTAGTGACTCAATGTGCCAATAGAAGCGTGAATGATACTTACATTTATGACTGAGCAGCTTGTCAAGCGACTGCGCCCATTGGTTCACGTCATCTACGCTTGGCCTGAGGGTAAAGAACGCAGCTCACGTAAGAGATAATTATAGTAGCGCTAACTACTACGTTAGTGAAGTGTCACTGTAAATAATTGCTTATCAAAGTTGAGTCATATTGCATGATCATATTACATGATCGTGTTGCATGATTGTTTTGCAAACTGTTTGATGAATTATTTTACAGCCATTTGATGCCCTCATATCTTTTCCATTAAGAATTTAAGGACTTATATGAGCCGTGTACAGTTCTCACTTATATGCACAAGTGAAAAATATGCCAAATCTTAATTTACATAAAATGCAAATTAACTGAACACCTGAAATTTGAGACATTAAATCCACAGAAATCATTTTAAAACAACTTGTAAAACAAACAGGGCTTACCGGCAGAGTCTGTTTTTCACACGCTGTGTAGAATTTGTCTTCAGGAGAAGTCGTATTCTGTTCCTCCAGTTTTTCCTCCTTTATAAAAGAAAATTAAAAAAAGAGTTCACTCATCTGCTTTTAAAGATGTGCAATTCTTTTACAAGGACATAGTGACCAGGAAAGTGCTCATTAAAGACTGCATCAACTTACTTGATCTCCTTGTCTGCGGCCAGCTCTGTTGGTTTCATGCAGTCCGTAAATGCCATGTTTGGGGATGACACACTAGCAAGGTTCTCTCTCATTGTTCAGTCCTCCTCTCCTTCTCCCTCTTGACTTGTCTGGCAACTTTATAGCTCAGAATCATGCGTCGCAGCAAGGCGGAACTAGAACGGCGGGTCTGTAATGTGATTGGCTCTCCCTGAGTAAACAGCAGCTCGCCCCGCTGTGACTCTCAGCCCGAAGCAACGATAGGCTGTCGCTGCATAAATATTCCCTCCCTGAGTTGCCTGCGGGCTTCCATTTTTAAGAGTAAGGTCAAGACGTGACGTATATAGCACACTCAGTGCCCCTGTTCTTAAAATAAAGTTGTGTTGGGAGAGTAATGGAACTTTTCTCTTCTTTTTCTTCTTCCCCCCTGTGTTTATAGCCAGACACAATCACAATATCTTTAAGACTGTAATTGGTGAGTTGAAAAAAAAAAAAAGATTTGAAATGAATAGATGAAACAGGTGATTCGTTGCTACCTTCTGTGTTGATGTTTAATTAATTACTCATAGAGGGTGTGGATCAGTCACTTCGCATCCTGACTCCTGTCTTGATGGCATGTTAGATATGGGCAAGTTGGAACAAACGTGATGATGTAATATCCTCTTACCTCTCTAGGTAAAAATGTAGGAACAATGTTTTCATTCCTCACATTTTATCCTAATAAAAAAAGCTTTAATTGAGTCCACCAGTAAACTTTAGATGGTTACCTCCAGTATTGTTATAAAGCTCAAAAAAGGTTTACTTGTTTTTAAAGCATAACCTTTTCTAGAGGGGAGTACTACCTGCTTTACTTGAAGTGTGTTTTAGTCAGTTAGAAACACAGTAGTTAAGGAACTGACCATTTATAGCAGAAGGTTATGGAGGCGAGATTTAGTGGATAAGGCCGTGCCTTTTGAGGGAGCTCTCAGAGGGATCTGAGCTGCAGTAAGCTGCTGCTAAAGAACTGATCCGCCTTCACCAAACACATGCTCAAACATGAGATTTTATTAAAGCGAAGACAGCCAAAAACTTTCAACACCAGAGGCAGAGATCTGAGTAGCACTCCAGCCCAATTATGTTAGCACGAAGGTATCAGCAGTCACCTGCGAGAGATTCAACTTATCAAAGCTTTCTCAGGCACCACTATGAATACCAAAGAATAATGCTGGTGACTGATCAGACACGAGATTACAAAGTATGACTGAGGTATCTGATACTGATCACACTGAGTTTCCTGTCTGGAGTCTTCCACTGATACTCGATTAGATTTTATATAAAACATGGATACAGCCACCATGAGCCCACACACACGAATGGCATGCTGATTTGACTAGCAAGACACAGGCTTGTTTACTGGAAAAACTAAACAGACTCTTTAGAACTGTTGCTCAGTAAGAAAAAAATGACATCCATGTCACCCAGAGCCTCAAGGCCTTAATTATTCATAACTTTAACGTGTAAAACAATTTAAATGTGTAATTTACATAAAAATACATTCCCTTACAAATGTCAGGAAAGGAAAATGAGGGGCAAAGACCACTGTTTTTACCAGGCAAGATGTTTGTTTCTGATATAAATGTGAGCATTTGAACATGAAAGTCTGTGAAGATTGAATTGAATTTGAATCAAACCAATAGTGGTCGAACGTTTCAAGCCCTACTATGTTCACTTTGTTTTGAACCATGGAGTGTGCTACTTGACCAAAATCTACACAATTACAACATCTTAAAATATTATCAAGCAATTAATACCTTTAGTAAGCATATATATATATATATATATACAACCAATACTTGTAAATGTTAATGCTATCAGCATTAATTTGCGCTTGTAGGCTGTCTGTGAGATGTATGCATGTCACTCAAGCATATAGCTCTTAGCCGCTAACGTTTTATTTTCTACCTAGTATTTAAATGTTTTCTCTTAGGGTAAAGCCTATTCTTTTTCTTTGGTCTTTTTTACACTTTGCTTTCTGTCTTTTAATCATTTTCTTCAAGCAGCCACGAGCTAGCACTAGAAACTGAATTGATATGAGCTCACTTTTGAGCCAGAAAAAAATTCAATGTTGCTAGCAACATAGGGCTAGGTTTTGACTACGTTACTGATATTATTGAAAGGACATTGTGTTCTTGTTACCAAACGTGCCAGTCACGTTTAAACCTGCGTATCCTTACACACGAATTCTATTGATTTCCATATTTTGGCACAAGTAGCCAGGTGTCATGTAAAGAAGATGAGTAACTGTTTTGCTAAACCTGCAGGCCCGGTTTTTATATACAGTCAAAGAGTAACCCATACCACCTTCACGTGGCACTAACCCTGCCATCTTTCCACTCGCTTGTTGTTTTTACCTAAAATAGCATGACAACATTTTCATGAACGCAGTTTTGAATGCAGAGTCTGCACGGCTTTGTGGAGAAGTAAAGGAAGACTAAAAATATTACTGCAGAGCTTCCATTCATAAAAAATACTACTCTATGTAATGACATATACCTGAGCGGCGATCAAGTAGGAGAAGTAATGTGATGGTCCACTTGGTTCAACCATCTGGACAACATCTATCACATTTTAAAAACAGCTGCTTGTAAAGGTCACCTGTTCAGCTTAGTGAACCCTTTGTTCTGGAAACTTGAGTTGAAAGTGACGTCACATCCCAGAAAGCCTAAAAGAACGTTTCTGCCATTGAATGGGATGCCCGTATGTAAAAATCCTCACATTTTGTCCCCCAGTATTGGCAGCATTTGCAACTGCGTCACCTGCTGTGTACTGTTGTGATAGTCGCTGTCCTCCCTCCTTCTCTCTCAGCTCGGAGCTCTGCAGGGTGAAAACACTGGTGTTCGCCTCACATGTTTATTATGATGTGCAGACAGTGTATAAGCAGCTGTCTGTCTAGAAGTGGATGAAGCGCAGGGCCAAGTTTCCATTAAGGCACGAGTTGTGTCCAAAGAGGGCTTACGCAGAAGAAGGTGATTCCCAGCACCGGTTTGCAGAGTTTGTCCTCTTTGTGTTTGGACTTTACAGCTGCACTCATTAACCCTTCTAGGTGATTTTCTTTCGTGCTTTATGGCTGTCGGCACCGAGCCAAGTGCCGACAGCCATCCTAAAGTTAGCATGGAGCTCCAAACCCTTAATGAAAGATTTGCTCTAGACCATAGGGGGGAAAAAGATCCCTAAGAGCCATTCTGGCTGCTTCACACGCACTCGTTCCAAAACAAATAGGTGCTAAAAATAAATTAAAGAAAAGCTTTGGATAGTGTTTGCTTAGAAATTGACTTTCTATATTTTAGCACCAATGTGTGCTACTTGTCTAAAGTTCATCTCATAAACACAAGACAAAATCCCAAGTGGGCAGCTGCAGATACATTCTGCAAACTAACACAAGCTACTATCACCTTTATTTCAAAGCTAGTTTGTCTGCTCTGAAGCACCTGATACTGGTTATTCCTACGTGCTAGGAGAAGCTGATTAATTATTGAAATGAATCATCAAAAAAAATTATATCATTAGTAAATTGCAGGCTATTTATCATGAATCAGGACACAAAGAAAACACAGATAAATATATATATATATGTATTTGTACGAGAGACTCTCCTTTATTCTTCACTGGACATGAGGATACATACATTGTTGAGCACTATTCACAAGTAAGTGCCACTTCTCCTAGTTACGTAATCTAAAGAGGCGGCTTTAGTATCTCAGATGAGGAATTGATAAATCTTTTTTTTTTCTTCAGGCTGATGCCTCCGCAGAGCCAGTTCCGCTTTACTGACTTTTAACAGTCAGCCCATATAACAGAGAACCAATCATTCAAGCGTTGGAGTTACGTAGCACAAGTGTTGTAATTTCCACAGGACACAAGGCATTTGCTTTGGGATTATGGGTGTAGCTAACACCAGTATCAGCAAATATTAGCCTTCTAAACCATCGGGCTATTTTCGTGATGTAAAATGGGCAAGAAATAAACAAAAGGTCCTGGACTTGCTTTGGTATTGAGTTTACCATCCTTGTGTCAAAGACTACATGAAAATGTCTGGTGGCACAAGCTTTCTATCATTTTCTGCATGTACCAAGAACTGCCAGTGTGCTTACCCATGGGGGTATGTACTGTGGAACTGGGGTACTGTGACACAAGAGATCACAAGGTAAAAAAAAAAGTGCCCCCTATAGCATGACTGGTGGAGTGTGTTATCTGCGGAGCATCCTGTGAGTGTCTGTCTATGCCCTTGTTTAGACATTGGATGTGTAATATTGCTGGCTTAAATCCCACTGATGTCATCCTGCCTTTTAAACAGGTACATTTTATGTTAATGTTCCCTGTGGATTCCGAGAGACAGATGCATGAAAATTTCGGAGTCCAAGAATGGAAAGTACATAAAATGGCACATGAGGTCATCACAGTGTATGCTCACTGAGTGCTCATTGAACACATAATGTAGTAATGTGTGCTATCCTTTGTGCAGCCAGACCTGAGCTGGATGATTTGAATACTTTATTGGCATTTGGTGTGACAAAGTAAGACTATTGCCGTAACTTTTTACTAAGACGGGTTAAGATGCCATCAGATTAACAGAAAGGAGAGGTAATGGCCATGTGAAGTCCCCAACTTTAGGCCTCATCTTGAGTATACTTGAGTATACAAGTGAAAGCGAAAGGTTCTGCATTGTCACTTATCTCTGACCCCTATTTCCTGTATTTTTCTGTATCAGCAAAGCTAAGACGAGAATAGTATATACTGTCTATTTATGCTTAGTCTGCTGGGCCCTGGGATAGCAAAAACCTCTCCATGGCAACTGATTCTGCTATGTTGTTGTTTTGGCATATTAACAGGAAGTACAGGTTGCTGGCTTACTCATAACAGTGATCCTGTCCAAGTGAAAAAAATAAACAGTGGTGCATACTGGCAGCCTGTTTCATTAGCTCAAGCATTTTGCTCTAAATTTGCCTCCATAATTGCTAACTCGGTGGCTTGAGACTCAGGTCCTGGCACATCTTACACAAAGGCTCGAAAGGTTTTGTGTCAGGTGGGCTGACAGAGGATGCCATTTTCAGCACATTCTACTATGGAAAGCTGCTCATTGTATTTTTATCGTCATTATTTATTCATTTGTTTATCATGTGGACATATTTAATTCTCGGAGTCATAAAAGTCGTAGCTGGTCACTGGCAGCAGAGGATGATAAATTTCATGGGTCCACAGGGGCAGTACGGGCAGTCAACAACATAGAGGACAACACTAACCCATAAAAACTCTGAAAGAAATACAAGAGGACATGATATTGCTCAAGAGGCAGACAGAGCCAGCAACAATTCATTGTGGCACCAATAAAATAAACACAAAAGCTGTTTGTTTATATAGTGGAGGCCAGTACAGAGTCAGGGAAAATGGGTAAAAACTACACCTAATCGAATCTGCATCTACAACAAATACCCACATATGCAGATGATGTCACCTACATAGTAATAACTTTTATTTTGCATCTTCAATTGTTCAGTCAATCACTTTTCTCTCAACACCACAGTAATAACCATAAAGTATGAAGCTGAAACATGAAAACCACCAGTTTGTTTTCTTCAACTTTTAGCTGTTAGTTACAGCGTGTAACTCTGGAGCTTTCTTCGATTTCATGTTGGTTATGATTATAGGCACTATAAAAGGCACAATAAGTCACAGATGTCAAAAGACCTCTAAAAAGATGCCATACTAGAATGTGGATTGCCCTTTACAGTAAATTTTAGTGTCTTTACACAAGAAACGCTTTAGTCAGTTTGTCAGAAATGGCATCTTTCTTCTAGTCATGTATAAAATCCTTAGAGGCTTAAGTCAAAGGCGTCACTGCCAGCTTAAAGCTCTTACATTTATTTCTGACTTAATGCAAAACACACAAATTAGTTTTTATTAAGTTGGATTTAGTTTTGGTTCTAAATATTAAAAATTGTTGGTATGAACTAAGCTGTCTCACATCTACAATCCTTAGCAGTGGTACTGTACAGATTGCACTCTAAGCAAATGCATATTAGGACATGCAGTAGCAAAAATATAAGTGACTCTTAATTTAAGTGAAAACAGTCCTGATGCTTCCAAGTAAATATTGGCAGGGTTTCTCTCAGAGGTTTTACAGTACTATGTTCTTTGTCCACTTAAGACTAATGAAGAAATGACTGATGTATTATTTTCTTCGGTCCTCAAACAGCCAGCATTCACAAGCATTTGTAGATATGGCCAATTTTTATTTATTTATTTTTACCTTGTTTGTAATAGGTTTCCCAGTAAATTCTAAACCTTTTCAAATTTCATGCCAAGCTTTTGCATATTGGAAAATATGTCATGTCAAGGGGAAGCTCAAAAGCAACCAATATCTAACACAATAAAATCCATAATATATGCACATGTGACTGTGACGGCAATATGCCTTATTTCACTGTTATTGACCAACCATTCTTGACCTGAGTGGCACTCTTTTATTCAGGGAAACTCAATATTTGCAGCGTGAACTGTGTGACTAGCTGTTGTCAATGAGAAAACATTAAATAGTTACATTACCCATTTGACAATTTCTTTAAAATCTTTTTTTTTTTATTGTGTGCTGTATTTAGCTGAAATCCTAGCTACAGCAACGCTCATCAATACTTACATTTTTTAGCTACGTTTTCAAAATTAAATTTTCACTGTGGGCTAATTTAGCTGGTTTTCAATCCTTTTATTGGAAACTACAAACAACATTGATCGGTAGTGTTTTGGATGTGAAATGTAAGATGTGGCCAAAGTTGTGTAATGAATTCATACTCTGCAATGGCAGACATGTACTGTATTGGGAAGTCAGACAGAGAGTGCATGCAAAATGCACTGTGTGTAGAAATGAAGGCTGCACCCTTAGCATTGATGTTAGTCAAAAGTTACAAGAAATTATTAACACATGCTGCACAGTACCGATATTTTTGGACCACGTTACCGAAAAAAAAAATTCCCCCCATTGCGAGGCACTGTCCTTATAGTGTTGACATGCCCACATGACGGTGCACTTTGCCAGCTGAGCCCAGTCCAACAGTGTATTTGTGAAACAAGCACATAATTAAGTTGACAACAGTGTTGATGGGGGTGCATTTTAATCAAAGACTGTACCACAGCAAATCACCTGCTGCTGTGTTGACAAGCGTCCTGTCCTCAACCACGCAAACCCTGTTGCTACTTGTGTTTAAGCATGCAGATGATCTTCAAAGGAGACCAAAACAGTTAGCATTGCTTTGGCGGCCTTCTCTGCTTTAGTGTACAACTGCTCTCCAAAAGGTGTTTTAATTGTTACTTTGTAAACTTTGTAGAGCAGGTAATAATTTAAATTCCATTGGCTAATGTGGTAACATGCCACATGTGAGCTTTATAATGCATTACTGCCTGTTCATTAGACCTTGGCGGAATGAAACACAGAGAGAAACTTGACCTAAGGCACTGCCAACATTAGATTTTGCACCTTTAAGTGGTGCAAACATACCACATAATAATCCAGGACTGAAAAAAATCAAGCGCTGCAAGTCCTTGAATGGCCACTTGATGTTGGCCTATAAGGCTGTATAGAAAAGACTGACATAGATTCCAGTTCTGAAAAGTGAACCCAGTGTGGAAATACTTGAAACTGTGATGGTTTCAAATAGCCAGCAGAGAGCAAATCCTCTGTATAGAATTTTCTTTTTCTTTCTTTTTTTTTTTTAAAGTTCATTTGTGTAGAAATCTATAATATGATATCTTGCTCTGCAGTAACTAAAAACTATCAAGAAACCTGATGAGATTGCGGTCTTTTTGGATTGTCTCAAGTCATAATCAATAAAACATGAGGTTACTTTTGTATATTATAATCAGAAAATCATAAAAGGGCTAATTAGACCATTAAATCATCAGAAAAGTAGTTACAGTGGTCACAGGGAGCTGGTTTTTAAGGGCTTCCTCAGGGCCATTAAAAATCACTTGTCATCTAGTTTCACTTATCATGCCTGCACGCTACATCAGTCATTTTATTTACAGTCTATGGGCTGCCTCCAAACAATCCACATAGACTTGCATGGAAACTTTTTACAGCTCAGCTCTTTACATTTTATTACTTAAAACCTAAAACTTAAAGTTTGCATTATTATGGGTTCACTTTCTCACCCTATTATGGTCTCTTTTTGCTGTAAAAAAAAAAAAAAATCAAGATAGCGATGGCCATAAAGCTAAAATTGAGTATATTAAATGCCTGCGTTACTTGAAGGTGACTCACACTATCATTTTATCGAGTCTGTGCATCAAGCCCAGTGTGAAGATACTGAAAAATTATAAATTTGGCACAGAATTCTTTAAAATTACCACAAAAAAAAGTTTGTAATGATTGCGTATTTTATTGTGTATTGTGTGAATATCATGTCACATCTTCAGCCTTTGTGAGCCTTGTTAATCTGCTCCAGTGACGCCTGTTCAGCTGCACTACGTTCCAGGAAGGAACAGAGAAGGTACAAACTCAGGCAGAGAAAATCTCATTTCTCACAATGTCTGATTTCACAAGAAACTGGAAGTTCGTGCCTTCCTTTTTCTGAAACAGCACATATCTGTTACGAGCTTAATTTTCAAGACACCAGATGCCTTTCAGTGATTGAAAAAAAAAGAGGATAGCAGGAAACTGCGAGAAATCAATATATTGGTCCGATATCTTTAGAGATTTTTTTTTCTAATGTCATTTCATAAACTGAAATTAAAACTAGAAGTTAACACTCTTTGTGATCTTTGAAAGGATTTTGTTAAGTGAATGAGCTTAATCTGTACTTAGGTACATACATTCCCATGCATACATGTTTGCATGCAAATGTTTGCATATGTCTGTTATAACATAAAACCCACAACCATGTGCAAACATCCCATTTCTTTTTGAATGAAATGCGTTAAGAACTGTTTCACTCTAAGCGTCTTGAAGCCTTCTATAAATAGACCACAAAACTGTAATCAGAATTCTAAAAGTGACATTGTGAGTGAGAAGGACCTACACCGCAGGGTGGTGCACAACACTGAAAAGTTCACTTAGTTGCAGGTAGGCAAATAAAATAATGTAAATGTGGTTCAATGTAATAATTTAATGTAATTCAAATCCCTAACAAGTTTAACAAGTACTTAAACACTGCAGCAAACTTTGTACTCAAATGGTGACAATGAAAAATAAATAACACAACATTGAACTTTTTAAGTTAACTTAACTATCAGCTCCCTAAGAGTACATTCACACAGTGCGCTTTGGACATCAGCAATCAGGCCTATTCTCATGGTATAAAAGGAGTTTTGACATCCCGGCATGCAATGTGAGACATCCTATTTCTATAATCATTCCACGCCAGAAAACTTAAATAAACAAAATCACAACTCATGACATTTCAGCGTTGTAAGGACTCTGCTTAGATTTTAGTCTTTACACGCTGCGTCACTAGGCTAGACGTCAGCGGCTAGAAACGGCAAGTTCAGATCCCACACAAAAAATATACATGATTAGGCTTCTCGCAATCACAAAACTATACCATTAATAGTTATTTTTATTGAAACAAACTATTTTTACTTTTTGTAGTTTCAAAACAACCCTAAAGGATATTAAATATCGGCACAAAATAACGCCTATAGACAGCTTAAACTAAAAAAACCCTAAATCATCAGTTTTTCAAACCCCATATCGGTGCAATCTACATTATTTAAAAAAAAAAAAAACAGAAAGTGTCCATGAGTGGCTCTTGCTAGGTGGCCTTCTGCATGCTTTTACTGATGATGGCTTATCAGTGTTAAATCTATAGATTTGTTGTCTTCCTTGGTGCTGTCATCCCATAACTGGGCGGCTCTTTTCATGACAGCTTATTCTGAATCAGTGACGGTTAAAAACACTACATCTAAAATGCTCGCTCTCTTTCCCTCTTTACACACGCATACACACAGTTTCTCAAGTGTGACCGTGACATGTTACATCCTCTATCCTTATCTGCATAGGAAACACGTCTCCAAAAAAGGCCAAAGGGCGTCTACTGAATGGTTTGCTTACGCAGCTCTACAGTCAGACCGAGAGGCAACCAGCCCGCTGATTCATTCACTGTCAAAAGTGCGCACACACTCATGATCCAGTGCGAAAATGCACACTACGTGCTTGATATTGAGAAATCTGCCTGTGCTTCTCATTCTTATATAGTCCTCATGTGTGTGATGCTAAGTGTGAGGTGGCAGGGAGTCGGGGGGAGATACTTCCGTGACGGGGCTTGAGGGCTGATTCTGGACACTGAGGAACAAGTCCTCTGCACGCGTGTGCTGCGCCGGTTGGCCCTTCTTCCATCTTTGTTGTCAGTCCTTCCACCTGAAGGAGCTCAAACATTCCAGTTATGGGTTTTATGTCCTTTCTCTCCCCTCCTCTGGCCGTGCTTTCATCCCTTCATGGCGTCGGCAGCGAGGCTCTCCAGAAGAGTTCTATAAATGTCCGAGCGGAGGAACCGCGGGTACGAGTCTCTTTCCATCAACCCGTAAACGATCTTCTGAGCGTCGTCAAAGCAGTGCATGGTGGGAGTCTTGACGTTCCTTTTGATCTGCTCTCGGGTGTGATAGTCGATGTTGATCTGGAATGAAGCACAAAGATAGGAATGAGGGGATTTGAGCCAAGAGCAAAAGATGTGAGATTCAACATTTCAGCTGGCACTTCTCTCCTCTTTCAGAGGACTGCTTGCACTGACATATAAAGACAATATGTAAGGGAAACGGTGTCTGTGTGTGACTCTGAAGTTACCTCTTTAGGCGATTCTGCTTTAATGAACTGCTCATAAATCTTCTTGGCTCTTGAGGACATTCGGAATGAAGACTTGATCTTTTTGTAGTCCTCACACGTGAGCCAGAACTCAATGTTCTCGTCGCTGTATTCGGACTTGAGAAAGTTGCGAAAAGTAGCCAGTCCATCTGAGGTGAAGCAAATAAAACAAGCCCATTTTCAGCTTTTATTTAAAACAAAAAAAGAAGAAAAAACCCAAATCAGTCTGCCCAAACTGTCATTCTTACAAACACAATATTGTTTTAGCAGCATTCTCACTCTCAGGGGGAAAAGGAACCTACATTTAGACTCGAGAAGCTTTTCCAGTGACTGTGACCATTGTTGGGTATCTTCTAAACTTAGCCTGCTGGGAGAGAATGCAAGTTGGATTACTTAACAGAATCAAATTTGAGCAAAGCGAAGCTGTAAAGGGTGCGAGTCACACAGAAGCACACTCATTAAGAAAGCATAGCAGATGGGCTTATCGAATTCAGACAAAAATGCCGAACCCTGGGATATGCCGGGTTGGTGTGCGTGCTGTGCCAAAGCAAACATGGTGTCTCAGGATCATTTGAATCCTTTCAATGATGCCATAGATGGAAATCATAGGCGCAGGCTGGCTATTTTAAAACTGAAATGTATGCAAAACACTCCATAAGTCTCCTTACCTCTCAGAGCTGGAGGAGTGAGAGAACATGCACTGGAGTCGGCACATAAAGTTCTTTCCACTGTGTAGGGAATAAAAAATATATGAATATATCCCTGTTGCGTTTATTGCTGTTCGATTAGCTTCCAATGAATGTGTCAAAGAATGTTAGGAGGGCTGGTGTTTAGAAAAGACAGTGACTCGTGCCGTTATATAAGATGAATGGCTATTTTCAGAGATAGTATGAAGTATTTTTAACATATTTTTTATGTCACCACACTATTTGCTATTAAACAGCTCGAGATTTTCTCGTCAAGCTCCAAGTCAGCACATTTACTGGAAACTCCAGCTCAGCGTTAAAGTCAAAAGTTTTACTCACATGTTTTTGTTTCTCTTCCTGTCATCTCTGTCCATGATGAAGCGCTGTGTGTTGGGTGGTTCGACGATTAAGCTTGGCATTGTTTTATTAAGTCCACTCTCTCGGGCTCTCGGTCCTGGTCATGCTGTGGCTGAGAGACACTTAGGAGGATTCCCCCTGCAATGCAGCTTTTTATACCAAGGTTTCCTGTTGACGGTCTGGGGTTGATGGGATACATCAGAAGCTTAAACTAAAGAGGAAGCACCCCTTCCTTCCCTCCCTCTCCTCCTCCTTCTACCTCACAGTTAGAAACAACACATACTCACTCGGTGCTTTGCATGCATGTCTCCCTCCCTCGCCTTGATGCCTTACTCCCTATTATGTCTCTGCTTCTTTTCCTTCCCTTCTGCTGTTGCTGCTCCTTCCCGCCTCCTAACCGGACTAGCCAAACAAACAGCACTCTCTGTGGCTGAAAGCTTGCTGTGTTCCCATTATTTTTAGTCTGCCAGCACAGATGCAAATGACAGCAACAGTGACTTTGATAGGCAAATTGTGACCTTCGCACGCTGTTTGTGTAGTGAGTCCATTAAATGGGATGTAAAAGAGAAGGCGGTTGAAACCAAATATTGGGATTGTCCTTCTGTCTTTCATATTTAACATTTTTTGATCCCAAAAAAGGGAAAATCATCAAGATGTGGTAGAAATGTGCACAACACAAGGCTACAGTCATGAGTGAGAAAGAGGAAACAGCAAATTGATTGCAACAGAGAGGCTCCGCAAGGCTACAGGAAGCCAGAAAGACTGTCAGAACATCATATCCTGACCACTCTCATCTTTCAGCTGCAGAGTTATTACTTTATTATTGAAGCCTTCCACCATCGTCAAACTGCAGGCGGAAATCCTTATATGGTGGCTAAAATTAGTGTAAAAGGCGGAAAAAAAAGTTGCAGCTTTAATCCAATGCCAAATATCTCCAGAAAATATAGAAGGGTTTGGAAGCGCCTCAAAAAACAGAGGGCATTCTGTCAGCCCTCACATCAAGCACGATTTGTAAACTACAGAAAGAATTAAAAAAGAAAAGAAAAAAAAGAAACGTACAGTTAAATTTTAGGCAGATTTTACCGTTAAAATGAAGAAAGTGTAACATCAACCCACACAAAAGGTAGACATCCAGCAAAGTCAAGTACTATGATAATGAGCATGATGTCATTGCCAATGTCAGAGACCCATACATATTTGAAGGGCCCCAATGTTTTACATTTGAGCCTGTTATTTATTTAAGGGACAGGGGAACAGACGAGAAGTGAGGAGAACCAACCGAGGTCAGCCAGAACTTGTGGCTTTGGCCAAAGAACCTTTAATGAACTGGATGGGGTCTTGGCAAGAACTAGCATTAGCTGAAATTAGCATTAGTTGTGGTGACCCTTCACATTTCACGTTCCTTTCAGTTTTGCGGTGATCTACAACAGATATTTTCTCTGGCATTTAAGTAGACGTTTCTGCTGATAATTGTAGCACAGAAAAGAACTGTGGGAATTCAAATCCCAAACTCTTATCTTAAAGATAAACTAATTTATGTGTTTGTCTTTCGGCTACATCTGAAGGTTTCAAGTAAACTGTTTGGAGCAAATGGTTGGATGAGAACAGTGTGCTCTTTAGTAGAGTAAATGTCAGAAGGCATTCTTGGTCTCATGCTCATAAACTTTGAAACTTCTAAATGTGCTAACGATATTGCCAGAGAAAGCCCCTGGTTTAAGGTGTTGTCAGTCAAGATTTCAAATGATGATTGTTGAGCGAAGGTCTTTGTTTGAAACCCACCTTAAGATGGAAGCGATTTGTCTATTTGGATAGACAAATGGATGCTGGGCGTATACAGGTGTGGTCAGAAGTTTACATACATTTATTGGAATGGATATAATTGGAATTTGGGGCTTTTCTGGATTTTTCTTAGCTGTTCTTTTTCTGGTGTGAAATAACTGTACAGCATACTTTTAAATACTTAAATAGTCTTTAATCACTTTAAAAAACAAGAACTGGGTATACAACCTTGAATTTATTATGGATATTTTCCTAATCCACAAAAGGTGAAAAGTATATACACAGGCTCAAACAGCCTGTGTATATACAGTCCAAGCAGGTTAGCGAATACCTAAGAGGGCAAATGGTAGATGTACACAAATTGAGAAGTCTTCTTTGGAGCCATTTCTAAACAATTGCAGATCCCAAGATCAAGATCAAGATCATCATAACATAAGTAGAATTTTTATAGATGTGACACAACTTTGTCAAGCTATAGAAGAAGACCCAGGACATCATTCTTAGAAAAGCAGAAACTGGTTAGGATGTTTGGGAACAAACAGGGACTGCCATTTATTGGAAAAAGCAGGAACACCAGTGTCACTGTCTATTATGAAGCAAGTTTTACATCACTACAAACTGAAAGAGCGCCAACCATGAAACAAGCCCCTGTTTCAAAACCAACCATGCCTTACTGAAACATGCAGTCAATCTTGACAAGCCAAATGCCTCACGAAGAAATTCTTATGTTCATGCAAGATAAAGATTGACCTATTTGGCCACAATGACGCTATGTTTGGAAGAGTAAAGGTGAGGGATTCAAACCTAAGAACACTGTACCAGCTGTCGAGCATGGTGGTGGTAGCTTCATGGGTGGGTCTGTTTTGATGCCAGGAAAGTGGATGCAGTAATGAAGGAAGAATACTTCCAAACTCTTCCAACTTCCGCTCAGATGAACAGCTAGATTGTTGAAACTTGAGCACAAGTTGGAACTGCCTTCTTAAATGGCCTTGTCAAACCCCCGACTTCAACCCTGATTAAAATTTGTGTACTACACTTAAAAGCCAGGGAACCAACCAATTTATGAGGAAATGTGCCAAGAAAAGTGGTTAAACATACAGCCAAAATTACACCAGAACCTTTTTGATTGCTACAAAAAGCGTCAGGTCAAGAGCAACTTGTTAAGAGACATTTAACCAAGTAATAATATTTGAGCCTGTGTGGATTTGAGAAAATCCAAAAATAAATTCAGTTGTGCACCGAATTCTTGTTTTGTTTTGTTTTTTTTAGAATGATTAAAGCTGTATGCTGCACAATTGTTACACAATGGAAAAAAAATCATAGAAATTGTTAGAAGCCCAAAATTACCATGATATTTATGACCATGAAGAGTTTAAGTAAACTTTTCACCACAGCTTCATTATTATTGTTTTTGGAGTCCACCTATAACAAAATTTGAAAAGAAAAAAACATCCCTGATTTGAATTTTATCATTTGTACAGCACAGGAACTCTTCCAGGAAGTTCCTATTTGACTAGAGCGCTTATAGGTCTAGTTTGCATATGGGACCTCCTCCTGTCTGTCAAGATGAAGGGGCTACAACTGTGTTAGCTGGGCTAAAACACATTGTACTGGCATATGCTCGCAATTCGGGTAGTTTGCAGCAAATCTTCATATATGCTTCAGTTTGTATATAGTAGCCTGTTTGATTTTGATACCCTTTGGGCTTCAACACTCTGGTGGTCAGTTTGGCACAAGTTGAAGTTTGCATGTAATTTGCAATGGCTTTTGATCTGCAGAGTTGCAGAACTTTTCAACAGCATTGCTTTCACTGCAATGTATCGCCCAGTGTAGGAAAACACAATCATGGGACATTAAACAAGCAAGGCCGCTCTGGGTTATCACTCATTGGTTACAACTCTAATCAATGTACTGACAATAGTCACTATGGTCAGTTTACATTTAAAGCAAAAATAGATCAGGTTATTATCAAATGTAGCCCATAGCCTTGCACTTCCATGTAGACCCTAGCTGGGAGTGTGACAGTACTGAGTCACACCATCTGCCTCTGCCTTCACATGTTGCAAAGATTTCCTACTCATTTTGTATAGAGAGAGGATGTTGGTGCTTTATTCATTCTCATCCTTGACCACATAGCACAGAAATGTATGTTCATCCCCCCCCCAAATCAATAGAAACAGCTTTGCATTGACATTGTAGCAAATACACAAAACCAGACAAAAATAGCAACTCTGCAATCTTATTAATATTTGGTAGTGTGAATAGATTTACTGTTAGAGGTGTGAAAGCCCAAAGCAAGTGCATTTCACAGATCTAAGATGCGAACTTTGGTTCCTAACTGGGGAATTTGAAGTCTTTAAAGCTTTTTGAAAGCTTCCACTCGAAACCTGATGCCATAGGCTACCCTGTTATAATCTACCCTTAGGCTTTGCCTCACTGATGCTTCCCTTTTTGCCCAAACACGGTTATAAGTACTGAGGCGTTGCGATAGTCACCAAACACTGAGAGGTGAAAGCTGCATTCCCTGTCTGAAGTTAAAATGTGGACAAGCACATCAGTGTATAAGATTTAACATTCAGCATCCAGCTCTTATAGTAAAGTTCCTCCCAACCGTAACCGTCTTGACTAACACTGTGCCAGCAGCAGTACTCACTTCCTTTTCGCTACCATGGTAACGGTTGTGGGCTATGAGAAAACAGTGACAGATTGTGTGCCATGTGATGGAGGAGATGTGAGACCTCTGTCGTTTATCAGGAACAACCCGTGACACTCTGTGTACTGAGAGTTTTCTGACGTACGACTGTACACCTGCAAATAGTTTCAGCCCAAAATTACAATCAAAACCAAGTCAACCATAACATTTCCTACAGTATCCACATAAAATTAGAGTGAGCACTTTCAACCTTGTCATAGCACACATGGATTTTGTCCTGCTTTAAAACTAATTTTAACCTTTTAACTTAATTGTAATGCTTTCAGAGTTTACATTCAAAAAATTATTCCACAAAATACTGACTTTATTAAGCAATTTGCTTACATGTAAATTTTCCATGTAATTTGCTACATATGTAATAATAATGTAAAACATTAAATTTAATGGAATCTGTTGATTGGTGTACATTCGGTTTATACCAAGAATATTTTTTTAATGCTTAATTATTTGATTAATTATACCTTTAAATTGAACATTTCAGTTGCTTTTTACACAAAATTATTGCTTTATGTTCATGAGGGAAAAGTATTTTTTTCTTTTTTTGTGTGTAATTATGAGATTAAGGATCCAAAATAAATTTTCCAATAGCTATATCTCTGAAACACAAGTGGCCCTGGATATAATAAATAAAAATAATAATATTGTTATTAAAAGAAAGAGTTGTGGTTACTAGTCCATAGAAAAATAGTATGAGTGGGTGTGTCTCTATAAAGATATTTCTCCCTGCAGTAGGTTGGTGTCTGAAGCTTTCTGGTTTCTCTCTGCAACTATGAAACATGGATTTTGGGACATGACTAATTGTAGGTTCAGTTGCAAAGTTTTAAAGTTTGCATTTTCGCTGTAGTCAGCTCGGCAACTTAAAACTGGAAGAGCGAGCGGCTAATTTGACTGAAACTTTATCATCCTTTTTTCAATCTAATGGCAACCATAATTTACAAAATGAACATGATATAGAAAACACTTCAGTCTAGAGACTGATACCATAGAAAGTCTTTATTGAGGTCATACATCGAGGAAGCCAAGGGGTCATGTTCCCATAGAACCATAAAGGATGTTCTGCTGTTATACTGAGTGTATGATTTCTGTTTCTATTTCCCTCAATGTCCAAATAGCATTAGAGCAACCTTTCTCACATCAAAGTAAATAGTTTGCATGGAAAGCAATAGCCAAAACCTTTGGCTTTTGTCTGAAAACGTAACTCTACCATCGCTTTTTAAAATCCATATGCATTTCTATCTAATGACTAGTAACTAGAACAGGCAAACTCAAACTGAATATACACCTAAAGGCCCAATCTGTCGTCCCTATAATGGCAGCTGACTAACAGACTTGGATGTGTTTAGACTCAACTGCCATGACACAAATATTTGTGTCATGCTGAAGTGGATGTTGATTGTAAACTAGCTAACACGGGGAAACAATATAGCAACATAGTTTCAAAGCCTTCTTCACTTGTGTTGGAACTACAAAAAAGTGAGCTTCATAGTTTGTTTTCATACCTTTCATTGGTGTTCTCTTTCATATGGTAGTACATGAACTCTGGGCTTTCACCTTTATGTTAAAAACAGAGCAAATGCCTCAATATAGTATTTTAAAAATAGGATTTCCAGTCATAAAGCTATTAGTCTTTGACCAGATAGGGTTCAAATATCCTTTTGAGTAATGGTATGAGGCGCTTACTGTTGTAAAAAATATAAGCTACTGTCCTTTTATTATCAAGTCTGATAAGTGATGAAGCAGATTCTCTATGACCACGTCCTCTTTTTTTGCCCCACAGTACTCATCATGGTTGGAAAAACTGCTTAAATTTGTTAACAACATCAGGCCATGAGTACAAACCGATGTGACAAAAACCTTTATTAACGTGGAACTGTTTAACATACACAGTCTCTCTATTTTCATCTGAAAAAACCTTTCCCAGACTCCTCTTTTTGTAGTATTTTCCCCAGTCATTGTCTGTGGGTGATGAGATTATTCCCCTAACAAGGCAGCACATTGAGGGCTGATCTGTTACGCATCAGGTTGTCTGATGACTCCTGTGTTGTCATTTAAGCCCTTGAGTTATTATTAGCTGCCTCAGTACTCCTTTTTAAGGCACAATCTTTAGGAATAAGGCCGTTTACAGAACAGAGCGGGATCGAGGGTTAGAGTGGGGGGTTACTTTTTTCCAGTTTAGTAAACCCTGATGTTGGTGTACAGAGTCAGGCCCACACCTAATTAAAGGATATAGTAGACATGTGACTGAAAACAGAATCCCTTTGCTGGGTAAGCTGTGGAAACTGTTATCCTTTATTTTGACTCATGCCCTTCCTCATGTCTCAGTTTGTCAGTCAGATAAATATAATTCTGACTATATTGGAATAAAAAGAATACTTATAGATAATGAATGACTACAGTTACTGACTGAATGAGCCAAATTTGGGCAAGAAGTCCTAACATTTCACATCAGAAACAAGCCTAACTTACCTAGACTTTCAGTTAACACATACAGTACTTCAAAGAACCTTGAACTCCTCTAAAGTACTAACACATACCAACATTCTTTATACGTACATATCTCCACACTCACATTACTTTTCTGTCATTGTGTTTGCCTTGCTGTACTAAAGTCCACGGCATTTTATCAGTACAAAAAGAAAAAATGATATTGCACACTGTTAAAAAATATTTTTTTATGTTTGGGTTTAGAGTGAAACAGTAAATTAGTTGATCCAGGGATGGTAGCTCTCTTTAAAGGTACCACAGAGTCCTGGATTTGCGCTTTAGACTCAGGTAGGCATCTGAGTGCAGGAATCTTGGGCAAGAGTCTCTTTCCATCAGCAGGTAAACATGTTTCTGGGCCTCGTCAAAGCAGGAAAGGTTGGGTTTCTCAAGTGCCTGCTTGATCTTCTCTCTAACACGCTGGTCTACATTGATCTGAGAAGGAAACAAATGTGACAAGTCAACATATCATCATGTAATGGGTTCCCAAATTGGCTGTGTTTGTTTTCAATTTGTGAAAAGGTGCTTGAAAAACGTTAAATCCAAAATAATTAAAATGCCACCACCAAGATGTGCAAAATACACCCCTGGAAGGAGGTAAGAAAATACCTCTGAATCCTAGGGTTACATTTTTAAGAAAAAAAAGTCTATTTTGTGGTCAATTTTATTACTGGCACAATAAAAAAAAACAAAAAACATTAAATCAAACATTAACTTGCTAGCTCTCTTGTATGCTTTTCAACGCAGATGAAACTCCATGAAATTCAGAATTCTAGCTGCTGAGACAGATCACACACACACACACACACACACACACACACACACACACACACACAC